ACAGCATGTGTTGGAGGAGTGGCAGAAGCACTTCATCTTGCAGAGGTTTGGAGGTTCCTGTGTCAAGAGACATGCAAGGTGGTGGCAGTGACAGATTCGTCTTCATGTCGACAATTTGTGCAACGCCTCGGTGTGGGGCGCATGAAGCACGTCGAGACGAAACTGCTTTGGACTCAGGAGGAGGTGAAGAAAGAAACCCTCTCTATCACAGGAGTGGGAACCCTTCTGAATGTGGCAGACCTCAACACCAAGAAGCTGACAAGAAACCGGCGCAACTTCCTGATGTACCTTCTCGGCTTTGTGGAGGAGGATGAGAACAATGGAGGCTATGCGACGGTTGGCGAAGAGGAGTTCAATGAGTTTCTTCGCAAGAAGGCAACAGCTCAGAGGATGAAGCAGGTGAGAAGAACACTTCTACAAAACCTTGTGGATGGTGTAAGCCCAACACCTGTTCCCCGCCAGATGGTGAAAGCAGTAACACTACTGAGCATGTGTGTCGAAACTCTTGGTACCAATGAGATGACCAGCACCATGGAGAACGAGATTCAACAAGAAGCAATGACATGGCTTGGTTGGTGGGAGATGGACTACAAGTTCACTCCGCGTGGCTTCATTTTTTGGAACTTCATTTTTCTCTTTGGAGGAGTACTTGCTGGAGCACTTTTGAAAGAGCGCATGATCGCACGGTGGAATAAGTTGAAGGAACTTCATGATGAGATGCAGAGGAAAAGACGTGACATGCACCGCAGAGCTCTAGCAGAACTACATGCAAGAGACTATGTCCGGCAGACAACACAGATGCTGGAGATGTACAGAGGACATGTGAGTGATGACCAAGTTCAACCACCGCAGCTTGAACCCCTTCGAGTCAACAGAGTCCAAGCAGCCTACGACCGCTTCTTGATAGCCCGAAGCGAAAGACGCGTGCGAGAAAGGCATGGACCAGAACATGGACAACACCAAGTAGATGAAGATGGTGACGTGCGCATGAGGACTGAAGAGGAGGAGCAGAACACAATCTATGATTGGTCTCCTACTCAAGGACGAATGGTGAACTACAGAATCCTCGAGAATTCCAGCGACGCTCCAAGTGCAGAAAATTATTTCCAGAGGACAAGAGATGGAAGCAGCTATGTGCGCCGCTACAGGCCTACAAGCTCAGAGAGAGAAGGTGGAATGACCGACAGCGATCCAGAAGATCGACCAGCGAGGAGAAGCAGCAGCCCAGAGCCGCAGGAAGAACCTGTTGACCCAGTTCCAAACAGGTTTGATGATTGGGGGTACTTGTACACCCTCATCCCGGCAATCGAGAAGATCCGAGTCGAAAGGATCTACGAGGCTGGCTTTTTCCCGGAGTATTTGTGCAAGCAGTTCCTGCAGCTTTTGGCAGCAAAGCGCAACCCGGATGAACCAGGGCTACAGTTCGACTATGCCCTGATGTATGACATCTATGACCGCAACTACCACAAGATGTTCAGAGATTTGGTGAATGGAGAATATGACCAGACTTGGGACGCAATTGTGGAGGCTTGGCACAACAGAGACGAAGAGAGAGATCATTTGATCTTCACGGCCACAGAGCTGGAAGAGTAGGGTGCTTTGAGCCTTGAAAAAGACGGCTCACGCAAGGCAGGGTGTTAAACATTTGAAGAGTACAGGAAAGCGCACATGTAAAGATGTAAGAGCAGTATCTGTTCTTATCAGTGTGACTCCGCAACACAGTGGCTCAGCGATGAGTGAAAAGGAGCGATGAAGCTGCCTAACAAAAAACATGCACGAGACTTTGCAAGAAGTCACACGTCAAGTTTTCAAAGCGAGCGTTTCATGCACGATTTGAAGGATCATTTGCTCCATTGTTGAACCTCAGGGCTTGCGAACTTGAACCTTGTTTGTTTTCAGAGTGTTTGCCTGGTCGAAACCCTTGTTTGGTGCTCAGTCATGTGGACGACTTGAATGTCGACTCTGTGTTCGAGACCATTGGAAAGAAGGTCCACCTGAAAGGACTGGGTTCATTGCATCTGCTGGGCAGGGAGCACAGTTAAAGTATTTTGGGTGAGTGATCGCCCGGACAAACGGGAGAAGAACGTTTTTGGTTGTTTCCTTACCTGAGAGACACCTCGATAACACGTTCAAAGATTACAAGTTGCAGTCATGTTCAGACTCGATCACCTCCAGATATCACACCAGTGATTGATGAAGAAGGTGGTCAAGAGTTGTCTCCAGAAGCGTACAGGAACTCTGGAACAATTGCGAGCCAAAATTCTAGGAGTGTGGGCGTGGCAGGTTTGTTGGACCGGACATTGGCGACTCCTTTAAAAATATTTTTCCCCCCCCCCGGGTTGCCGAAAGCCGCGCAGTCCTATTTACAAGCAGAATCAAAGTCAAGGTGGGCCTCGCATGGCCTTACGCATTGGGAAAATGCGAGGATGGTGGCCTCGCTGGCCTCGCACTGGTTGAAACAAGCGATCAGTGGCTTTTAATGTCACCGCTTCACGCGCGCAATAGGCAACAAAGAAGTGGTCGCGCGAAACAAATCTTCTTTCCTGCAGAAGCTAAAAGTGGCGTCCCGCAAAAAAAGGCAGAAATGGTGGCGTGGCAAAGCTGTCAACCCAGGCAAACATTTCATTTCCACTCACTCCCAAGTCGATTGACCTTGCAGGTCCATCAAAAGCACAGCTCATGGCTTGTTTGATTTTGGTGCGGAGTTTCACAAGATCCAGTTGTTTTTCCGTTGGGAAGTCTTTGACGACGGGAGAGGTTGTGGAACATTCAGCGTTTGCCCTTCCTTGGTGCAAGAAAAGCAAAGACAGGAAAGAACTCGAAGAGATTGTGCAGGATCCAAAAAGTTTTCTCTGACCTGAGAGCCAAGTTGATTGAGATGAACGAAAAGTGGGCCGAAGAACTCTCCAGAAATTTCCTTCCAAGGTTTGTTTGCAACAGCAGCTCGGAAGTTGTGCACTCAGTGAAAAATGCCTATGCCACTGGGTGCGGTAGAGACTCTAAGAGTTCCCAGGATTTTCAATTTAAGAGCGAGATCCCCAAGTTAGACCCTTCCAATTGGCGCGTGTGCGATGCCGTAGGATGTGTCAAACTTTTTGAGCGGTGTGCGCAGGATTCGTGAACCGATCGAGAAGCGTCCAAGCCAAGCCCGATTGACTGTAGATGAGGGGGGTGAGGTGGAGTGATGACTCCAACATCCAACCGGGCAGAACTGGAGACGTGGCCCACCACTTGGATGTCAAGACAGGTTCCGCCTACTCCCCCACCTCACTGATAATGTGTGTTACCATGAATGAGTGTGACGCCTGCACCGAACATGCATAAATCAACTTTCAAATCCTTTTGAACGTGCTTCAAAGAGCACCAAAAAAACATTAACGCTTTCCCCAATAATGGCCCTGAAAAACAATTGTGCAGCAACTGTAAGTAGCGCACGCACGAAAACATTGAAGAAAACACAAAGCACCACGGCAACTATGCGACATGGGACAATACGTTCCGAAAGTGAAATAACATCCTAATTCAATAAATATGATCCAGTCTGGTTGATGAAGTGAATGAATGAAGAGGTTTCTTTTGTGGAATTTCAATAAACATGACGTTGTTTTTTTAACTTCAACAAATCATTGAGTGTACACAGGTTGTTGAAATAGTGCAGCTGAAAAACAACGTTTGGAGAAGGGAAAAATCGGAATGATGAATATGAACAAATATAGTTATATATATATATATATATTTTTGATGAGGGTTGACTGAATTCACCAGTGTGGTCATTTGCGTCATTTCATGTGCTTTTGTTCAACCTTTGACAGACACCTGATAGATAGATAGATAGATATATATATATATACATATACACTTATTTCGTGGGGCTGGCTTAAGCGGTTGCAGCATAGGCACAGTCTTGCCTCGCATTCAGTTGAGTTGCCATGGGCAAGCCTCGTGGGATTCGATGCGCCCGTAAGTTGAGGGTTCATCGGAAAGAAGCACTGTGGGCTGACAAGGACAACACGAGATGCTTTGGTTGTCTGTGCCTTCGGCTCAAATGCGCATTTTTAATCCTCCAGGATTACAAGAAAGCAAACCTGGGCACCAAGTACAAGTGCAATCCTTTCGGAGGCACAACAAGACCTTTCTTTACCACACGTGCGACACATGTTTTATGTTGGGGTGGTTTGATCAAATTCGATACGTACAATGTCAGGAACTTCTCATGCAAAGGGCATTGTTGTCGAGAAGATTGGCATTGAAGCAAAGCAGCTGCTTGACATACTGCTAAGCCAAGCCAAACAGCGACACTGCGAGTTTGGGGTTCGACATTCTTATTTGTTCACTATGGATGCCAACCATTCCCTACATTCTCACCACTCTGGTATGGGAATTTTCAATTCTTTTGGACATTTTA